CACAACATCATTGTGAAATCAAATAGTAAATCTGGCAGGAAATATAGACACAGGCGAACTGAGTTCTTAACATAAAGATATAGATATACTTTTTTTTAAATAGACAGCCAACTTCGAATCTGTGTTTCGTTTTTTGCTAATCAATCTAATGTTGAACCAAACAAACATACAAACATAGACTACCCTGGATGAACAACTTAACATTGTTAAATTTGTTAATCCTAAATGGATTAAATCTTAAAGTAGTTTGTTCCAGATTGGTATATTTAGGTTTATATGTTTATCCCTATTCATCAACATCCTAAATTTTAAATCGTTGCTTCCTTACTTCCATTTTGGTAATTATTCTTAACGATATTTAACGATTTTATGCATATAATCTTCCATCTTGAACTCATCAGTGGGCCGAAAGGGACGGGGTATCATACAGGAACAATTCATCAGTGAACACAGCACGATTACAGGAGATCATTTGATTCGGGTTTCGACGTTGTTTTGCATACGGAAGGATCAAAATCCTTTCTAGCCTCTGTACGTTCATCCGAAAATTTTACCTCTACAAATGGTAAATGGGCTGATACAATTCGGATAAAGTTATCATATTGTCAACATCGACCTCATAAAACGCTTCCTGAGATGACAAAGGCGTGTTTTTCTTAGCTGTCAAGTATTTGGAAAATCCTCTGTTATTCCAGGAGCTGTTCAAATTCTCCATAGTTTTACAACGGCTGTGTGCGTCAGGTTGATCGTTCTTGCGGCGTCAAAGTGTCTGACATCAAAGAGGAGCATACTAATCAGCATATCTCTATGTAATTGTGAGTCATGGCATTGCTGTATTTGTCAACAATCGACGTAAAATGAAGGGGTTCGTATCTATTTCGGATGTATATACGGGTCACATGATGAAAACCGATCGCATACACTACACATGTGCAATTTGAAATACAGTTAATACCATGCAGGTGACCACCCTTCGTTGATATTTTCGTTTATATTTCTATTTTCATATTTTACCTTCATTCACATATTCAACTACTATTGGCAGAATAACTATATTTTTAGTTCACTTGCACGTGACTTAATATACACGTAAAACCCTTCTTGGAACACTTGGATCATTGTCGTTATAAAAACCTAGCTACTGTTAAATCCTTTGAATAATCCAAACTGTATATCACTATTCATCATGACCTGTATCGCATCGTATTGATAAAGACAAAAACATTATGAGGAATATAAAAAAGAGAGCGAAATTATTGCCTTGAATAAAGTTGAAGACATTTTACATGAGGCTTTGGTAATGAAGCTAACAATAGGTGTGTATTGAAACCGGATAACACTCATCCAATGTATCTTTATTTGTATCTATTTATTTCACTATGTGTATATTAATCTATTTATACGTTTTAGCTGATCTGAAATGAAGGATACTAATAATAATAATAATAATAATTCGGGGTTCCTATATACCGCTTTATAACAGGATATAGGGCCTTTGCAACCAGCCAATAACTTTCTCAACTCCCTGGGGAGCCGGATCTGACAGCTAGCATTCAAAAATAGCGCTGCCCAACCACGTACTCATTTACAGCTTAGTAGACTGGAACAAGGGTAGTAAAGTATCTTACTCGAAGTTACAACACAGTGCCGTGCCGTGACTCGAACTCGTAACCCTTCGGTCACGAGGCCGGCGTCCTACCACTAGACTACCGTGCCTCACAACCCTTCGGTCATGAGCCCGGCGTCCTACTAATAGACTACCGTGCCTCACAACACTTCGGTCACGAGCCCGGCGTCCTACCACTAGACTACCATGCCTCACAACCCTTCGGTCACGAGCCCGGCGTCCTACCACTAGACTACCGTGCCTCACAACCCTTCAGTCACGAGCCCGGCGTCATACCCCTAGACTAGCGTGCCTCCTACCACCTAGTTGCTTTATTTGTCATTCTATCCTGATAGTTGCCTAAATAATGACCACCAAAGTCATTTCATTACCAAACGTGGCTACAAAGCAGCTGTTGTAATGGCGATACTGTGTTTCGGAGGTGTCCCATTTTCTCCTTAACATGTGGCACAAGTCAGGATGTTCCCTGTTAAATAACGTGTTACTCCATTTTATTATTAAGTAAAATGTGGCGACATACCTTCTGCTAACTTAAATTTTATGTTAATGAAGGATGCATTAGATTTATTTTATACGGGCCAGAGAGGATATTAACATAGACGAGGTAAGTTGGCTATGCTTAAAAGCGTGTGTACAAATAGGTGTTAACAATGGACGTGATGACAAGGAAATGGACGAATCTCTGAGATAACAGCGGTATCCATTTTGTGAACCTGCAGCCTCTGATACATGCATCCATTTAAAAAAACTGATTTTTATATAAAAGTAAAGACTGCAGTGCGTACGTTTCATATGGATACCCAACAATGAAGTAAAACATACCAGCATGATACATTCCTTTATTCTCTCAAATTACAACACTCATAATCACTTCATAATTAAGACATAAGCTAGTATACCATGGTTACTCGAAATCGTAATGAGTGTTCGGCTATGTGATAAAAAGTTTACTTCTGTTTAATTTAAATTTCATACAAGATGTATTATGCTTATCATGAAATTATCCATTAAGCTCAGCAGAACATTCTAGAATCGTGCTATACATCTTTTATTAAAATAAACCTCATTTGGAACACGTATCCGAGCTATGATTGTTTTACACTTGTTTGAACTTTGTGTTGTAGATCCGGTCGTATCAAACTTAAGAACAATACTAAATTTGAAATATCTAGGTTAATCTGTTTTAGAGTTCAGCAGCATATTTTGTGATACATTGTTTATTAATTAATAACGTCTATCATTGCTATGACGCACAAAGAGTTACAATGTATCAATGTCATGTTAGTTTTATAACATAATATCAACAGGTTAAAAACTGAAGTTTTAAGAAATAATAAACGATGAACATAATGATGAACTACATGTAGTGTATGAGGTTAATATAGAAAACTGTTTCACATGAATTAATATCAAGTATAAGATGTGGCAGTCACGATTTAATGTTGTGTTGTGATATAAACATATATGCATATCTTTTAAAAATAGATCAAAATTTAATATTTACCTAGTGTCCTAATGTATGCAACCATATTCAACACGTCTTCATGCAATTACTTTGCAAATAAATGTGACAAAACATATTAATCAATGTGAAAAAAGATGCAGGAAGTTTAATTTAATATGTAGATAATATGTTTTTTTTTACCTCTGTCCTTTTTATTGAGAATCTCCGTCCTTTGCTAGGCAAAACATCAAAAAAAATGTTTGTAGTTGTTTTCAAACAAGCAGTTACCTCCTAACAATTTTTACTTACGTGTTGAAGGACTTGGTCAGGTGAATTGCATTGACCAGACAGTTCAGTTAGTAAGGGTGACCATTTTCTGTCCGATGTTTCGGGGTTATGGGCGGATTGGTCGGGTGGTTAACACTCCGGTCTTCCAAGCAGAAGGCCGGGATTCGATCCCCGAAGTCGCCGTACGCATGGAATATTAGAGAAAGTGGTTTTCTCCTGCCCACACAACTCCAACAACCCAGGTGGAGTATAAAATGGTCTGGGGGGGGTGTTGCGGTATCTGTGCTGTAGCATGCAAGTGAGGTGGCACTATAAATGATACCGTTGGAAGCTTGGTCCCACTACAAACAGAACACAGTACATCTCCAGCACACACACAGGCATACACACATAGGGAGATATTAGCCAGGTGGCATAGGACTAGTAGTTAGCGCCTGATAAGGACAATATTGTATTGATTAATATATGTATGCTAATTGTATTGACTGTATACAAATTGTATATCTATGTACTGTAAAGCGCTTTAGAGTGGCTTATGTTAGCTAGATAGGGCGCTATATCAAATGTTGTATATTTATTTATTTATTTGTTTAAAAAACACTCCCTTTTGGTTTTGCCAAATAGCAGGGCTATATTGTTGTAAATTACCTCAGAGTATTTTTTGTGAAAAGCACATCAAAGGCTAAACTAAAATATCCTTAGAATGAAATCCTGATAACGATTTAGATCCTGGTTGACAATTTCTGTGTTGCGTTTGTTGGCATATTTTCCAGCATATAGCGAGTACTGTTTTGATCAAATTGGTATCCACTTACAGAGGGCACAATAGAAAATAGCCAGTTCTGAAGAGAGGTAAATCAAAGCCAATAAACCTGGCACTTGCTGTCCATTGCTTCACATTCAGTATTAAATTCGTGGCTGCAAGTTCATTGTCAGTGTAATATGACTAAGATAGTGCCAATCTACCGTATCGGGGTTATGACAGTTCGGTAAGATGACACTTTAAAACGGATTTGAAAGAGTCAATCACCCTTGGATACCGGCATCTAATTTAGTGCTACATGTTACAAAATGAAAACAAAAGGTTCGTTCGCGGACTCTGTAGAGGTGAATTATGTTTAGCAATTTTGCAACAAATTTGCTGTTTGTATTTTTAGTTATTTCCAACGGTGTCATTGGGTTAGCAGGCTCAATGAGGTTTACACATTGGAAACGTTATATTTTCATTGGCAGACCAATGAGAATGGAGACATGTATTGTACTCTGTAAAGGGGAGAAACTTCACTAATACCATATGGTATTAGTAAGACCCTTGTAAGTTTAGTTGGTTATACCACAGCTAGATGAAAGAAAAGTGACACGTCTATGCGACACTTAGAAATATACTGATTTCGCTACATCACATTGCTATAATTTGACGTCAGATCGTCACATAGATAACATTGTGCCTGTGGTAACATAGTGACACATCTACCTTATAAAGGTGCACGGGGTAAGCTCACCCATCGTCTCGGATTCTGATGAAGAGTATCAGTTGATACCGAAACGTAGCATCTGACTATGAAATATCAGCATAGAATACATTAATCAAGATCGATCAAAACAGCCGAATAATAACATCCAAAAGCACATACATGTATTTTATATATATTTAATAACAAATAATCATATAAATCATTGTTTCATTTTAACAAAATGTACCAGAACTAGCTGACGGACTAAAGTCACACTGGGCTGTCAGACCGAACAGAAAACGTCGGGGGTAGGTAATGGCTCAATGCCACACGATATCCTTCCATCAGCGTTACAGGTACACATGTTCACATTGTCAAGGGACTCGAAGGTATCACCAACATAATAAGCGTGACCGTTGTACACGCATTCTTGATCTGGTATTTCAAAACAAAATAAAGAGTGTTTACCAGAGCGCCAATATACAAAGACAAATTCAGAATAAAACAACTTTTTGGACAGTGAATACATCACACAAAAGTTAAGACATCACCAATCTCGTTAAATAAATAAAAAACAGACCACATTGACTAGAAATAAAGGCGAAAACTGTATGTCATGTTACATTTACCCTAAAATCTCAAATTAAGGATCAAAATATTTTCGTTACAAGCAGTAATTGATTACACACAGCACATCTTACAAATTAAAAAAGAAACAGTTTCCTAACTATATGTGAATTCCGAATTCGAAATTCCCTGTACATGATGATAATGCCCCATTTTAATGTACAGTTTTCAAGAAAAAGTCATCATGAATTTTTCTTTAAAATTGAAATAGATCAAAAATAGTTCACGATCAAACGACCTAATTAGTACATATTGCGTTTATAGTGGTACATGTATGGACGCAGGTGTGTTGATAGGTGTATAGGGCAAAAACATTGCTGCTCCTTCAATAGAGTTATACAAGGAGCTTAAAAACATGTCGCAGTGACCTTTAGTAAAATCATCGTTTGTTTGAATGTGTCCATTCCCCCGTTAAACAAATAATACTTTTAAATTTATTGCAAAATAAATATGCTGCTTTTAACATTTGTTAATTATAAGTATTCTGTTTCAGGTATTGTTCCTTTTTTGGGAAACTTCATGATATATCAACAAATAATAAAAACAGAAGGTGGGTTACCATCAGGACGTCAGTCTGCGTACATGTTTTGTTTTGGTTACAGTATCACTGTAGATATATTAAATTATATTTATTGAAGTATGATTTTTTAGGTGTGTGTGTGTGTGGGGGGGGGGGGGGGGGGGGGGTCAGTTGTTTCTTTTACTGTAGTATTCATGAAACATCTTAATTTTTCTAAAGTTTTAAAGTGTCTTTTTTTAAAATGTATGGGCTCCTGCGGTAGTATGAAAATGCAAAACATTTTTCTCAACGCAATTTTGATACAGGATTTATAATGGCTGTTGAAAGGATAACATATAATATTGACGGGACTCACCAGGACACACAAGGCACTTGCCATCAGGGGTAGGACTAAGTCCCCATACACCTATACATTCCACTCGTTCCGGACAACACTTCGGATGGAACATACAGTAAGTACAGTTTGCGGTGTCATTCACACAGATTGCCTCCATATCGGAAGTGACAGGAACCACATCCGTTCCACAAAATTCCCAGCACTCCCCGTATGGTGATGGGAGTGAAACAGCAACTGCAAGGACACATATTTTTCAGGAGCATTCTCAAATATTCTCTTGTCAATTGTGTAAAGCATAATAACAGAATTGGAGTTACCTCCCCTGATCCTGTAATTAGTATTACCATATATATATATATATATATCATGTTCCATTTCCAAGTATCCTTAAACTAGTTAATCATTATTGTAACTGCATTGTATATATATTTTCGATCAAATAGCGAGCCCCTCATGGACAGATTTGTAATAGGCTTGCCTGTTAATCAATCCATTAAACTATTACATCTGTCAATACAATTTGTTGAAATGAAATGAAACAATCTGATGTATGATTTGATCTCATTGATGTTGTTTTTGGTTGCTTTTTTAAATGCATTGTAAGATTGTCAATCAACATTATTACTTACCAGGAACACCAATGAAGCAGATCCACAATACAATGTTGTAATAGGTATTCCTCATAGTGCTAAGCTGTGTGCTACCCTTTACAATAGTAAAAAAGCATAGTTGATAAAATTAAATAACGCAGTAGTCTAGTTCATTAAATATGCGTAATTTCGAATTCGAAATGTTGTGCATGGCATTTTGTCAGTTATGTATTTGTGGGGGAGACAAACAAAGTAATAAAATGATATTTGCATGTTTTACTTACAAACTGAATGACGCCTGCCTTTGACATTTATGCATTATGGAATGAAAACATTTGTACAATTATCAACAGTGTGACCCTGCCCAACCGCACGTACATGTAATATCGTATTAAAATACGCAACATATCAAAATGGAAGAAATAATAATAACATAAAATGCGGAATATTCAGTAGGATAGACACGATTTATAATCCGTTGACTAAGGATATAAACCATTTTATTTGCGGTACTCCCAAACTTAGAACAGTATTAGACTTCTTGAGCGATATCACTGTCGGTGGTGTGATGTCAGTTTCGTATCTCATACACAAACTTATCCTGAGTTACGAATATATTTTGTATTCTACTGATATGATAGCGTCACATTACTTACCGTGATACATCACCTGAAAAAGCGTCATCGAGGATACAGATGTACAGTGTGTTCTCGGTTATAAACCGGAATAGCAGTTAATTCGTCAACAAATTGATTGCTTCAAAACGAACGATGACACGGAAAACATAAATGTTATCATAAACAGGTTACTTATACGGAAAGTAATCATTATTTTGGATTATGTACAGCTTTTTGTGAAAGCAGAAATCAATGAAACAGTATTCCAACAAAATGGTAAATTTAGCTTTTTATTTTCACTGCAAAAGAGGATACGACGGTGTCATTTTAAATTGTACATGTAATTTCTTCCTTTGAATATATTTCATAAATATCCTTTAATAATGCGTTACAATGTGCTATTTAATACTTTTTTGTTTCGATTGTTTGTGTATTAGTTTATCAAAATAAGAAAGATGTTTAATTTAATTTACATATGATAAGACTACGATTTTCGTTCGAGTTAAAAAGTACTAAACTATCCTGTATCTCCCTTGTGATAGAGAAATGTGAATTTCATTACATTTTATGTTCTTTCAAATTTTCTTTGTTGCACGGGTAAATGTACATAAGAATGGTATTAACCATTTGGACTAGCTGGGGTATTAAGGTAACAAACAGGTAAAGTAATAATTTCATATCATTTTCCAGATAATATTTGTAATAAGATATTTTTTTATCTTTTAGTGACGAACTCGTTTTTATAATTAAATTTATCAAGAAATAATAAAAACACATGTGGTGCCAATGACAGTGCAGTTAGAAATCTGGATAAAACAAATTTAAATGTATAAATAAATGCAGAATTATATACGCCAATCATCGTGGTTCGAAAAGCTGCTCGTACACATTATATACAAATTGATGAACATTTTATTGAAGAGCTTTCCTATACCAACCAACTTTCATTTTCTTATAAGAAAAAATGGCATGGATATACAATTCATACCTTAACTGATTAATTAATAAAATAAAGCATACATTTTCAGAAACACATAATTGAGTTTCACTCATTTATGGGTTTTATTCAGGGAAGGAAAATAAGGAAACTAATGAAACTGATAAATGAAATAATAATTTGTTATGCATACAAATCTTTTCTACCTAACAGGGTTGATTCCTAAACAACTACCAGAACGTGAAAATGAAAAACATTATCTTTGATAAACATGTTGTCTTAACCAATTTCAACACTTATTCCGTTTTTCAATTAGGAAATTATCTTACTTTAAATTAAAAAGAATGATAGCAAGCCCTAATCAAATGCTAGTCTAAATATATGTTTATACATGTACCATCGTTGCTGTTTCAACAACATAAAACCCTGTTGAATAGATATATTACTACAGAAATCAATAAAATAACCTAATGAACACAATTTAATTATCAAATTCTACCTGTATAATTGATGCACTTTTTCTGGCACTTTCTACCTGTATAATTTCAACATCGTACTACTACTACTGTCATTGCACTTTACCTTTACAAGAGTTCGTTTTACCTTAGGTAGTCTGAACATTCTCCTGTATTATTGGTACACCTTAAATTGTTCCTACATCTTACCTGTATTATTGGTACAGCTTAGTTGTTCCAACATCTTACCTGTATTATTGTTACACCTTAAATTGTTCCTACATCTTACTTGTATTATTGGTACAACTAAGATTGTTCCAACATCTTACCTGTATTATTGGTACACCTAATATTGTTCCAACATCCTACCCAGATTATTGGTACACCTAAGATTGTTCCAACATCTTACCTGTATACATGGTACACTATATCAGCGCAGTTTCTATTCCTGTATAATGCATGCACCTTTCCATTACAGTCTTTACGTACCTGCCTACTCCTACTCCAAATACATTTTTATCATCTTACCTGTTACAAGCCAATATTGCTCCTGTATAAATCCACACACATGCGGTGTCCTTACTGATTTTAATATTGAGTATTCCATCTCTATTTATACTAGAGCATATCTGATCTATAGGAATTTGGTTGTAAATCATGACAAAGTGGTATGTATTACGTGCTTTTTTTATCACATAATTATGCTATATTTAATGTATATCCTATGCGTAAATCAAGAAAGAAATAGCTCTTTTTTTTGCCCCGCCTTTTGTTAATGTGGCTTATTTATCAATTTGTTTGTAACACTGACAGTACAACTCTGATGTAACTGTCACATTAATGATTGGTTTGATACATTGATTTCAAGTTCCAATTATTGTTCTCTTGACACTCCGTTTTTCAATTATTTATTTTAGCTGCACTTGTGACATTATTTATATTATCTACGAAATGCGACACAAGAGTTGCGATTTTTAAAGTAAATAAAACTGAGAAAGAAACAAATAACAGAGCGTCCATACACTCGCTCATAAACAACACAGGGAGGTAGATTGGATGTCAACATTCAAAGACAGGTTCAGGAAAATGCAAAAAATAAACACCTTAAATAACCTTAAGGAACGTAGAATGAAAAAACTAAATTAATTCAGCGTTACAAAATTCGAGATTAAAAAACAATTATTAATAAACAAAAATAAAAATTATAATAAAGAAGATATATATAAATGATATTTAAATATTTCCCTTTGAATACCATAAACATAAGTCACGATCGTGGCAGAATGTCATTTAATGTCGCATAATGGTTTAATCTGCCGTACAAGTGATAAGGTAGTAAAGTACACATATTTTAACTGTTCAATTTCTGAAGGACATATCGCAACAAAAATATTACAGCGCAAAAATGCTGGGGAGGATAACCAGCGTAATGTAATCTTTTGACAACACGGAATCGCGTACCGTTTACTGTTGGTACATGTATCCCGTCATATAATGTACTTGCTTACCACATACATTTGTAAATGTTTTCTCGCGTCTGAAGCAAGATGTACCAAACAAAACGATGAGTTCTACTTATCTGACAGGTCATCACCAAAAGTGGTATCGTCACTGTGACATACAATCACTGTTGTTATTACTTTTTCATATTATTTCCGACAAGAGATTGGACAGGAGTGCATCATGTGTCCACCGATAAAAAACAATATTGACTTGGAGCGCGTGATTTTTGTTAAAGGACTGGGTGTTTCTAAAATTGAATTATGACGTGTCTCCAAACGAACGCATTGTCCCGCTTCCGTAGATTTTTGCTGTGAATATTTTTCAGATTGCTAACATTACTCTTTTGAAAATAATAAAACAATTGTAGCCTTTGACTTCGGTCGATACCTGGATTTATCGACCTCAGCCAAAGGCTATAATTGAATAATATATATCATCGTATGAAAGAGTTCAGACTTATCTAGTTGATAGAATCTGACATATCAGTGAAAAGTCTAATGAATAATGTCATATCATTTTTGTTTGTAGTTTGCATTGAGTGTACAGTACTTGGAGGATAACGTCAACTGCGGTACTCTGAACCATGCCAACTCTTATACCGGGTTCAAATGATGAGTTCAAATGATGGGTTCATGAACTCATGTCTACATAACATTGACCTAAAATGATACGACAAAAAAAAACAGCTGGCCTATAGTTGATACATTGCTGCTATTGTATATATATATATATATGTAAGTATGAAGATAGATCATAACCGACATAAATTGGTACTTTGTTGAATTCTCTTCATCATAATGGACAGGATTTAGAATTAATTATCACACATTATGGACATTTTATCTATCTTCTATGCATCATTATGTTTAAATTGTGCTATATACAATGTGAGTAATATTAAATGTGATGATTGGAATGAATGGGACCACTGTGCTGAAAATAACATGATATGTATTGAAAAAAGTGATATATGTATGCGCATTATACTTCTTTATTCGATATGTACAGACATACCGTCCGAAATGGCATTTTTATTTATTTATTTATTTATTTCCAATTAAACAGACCCAAGGGTCCACTAACAGAATGGATAACAACATTACAACACAAGTATGAAATATCACAGTCAGTTATGAATGTAACACAGACTAAAATATACTCATATGTAAAACAAAAGGAATTAATGATAGCAAATATTTTTTAACCGTACTTTGAACTCGGCGAGAGAGGAACAAAACATATCACAGTGTGGTGCAAAATCAGGATAGTTAAACTTATATTGAATCCTGTTTAAAATACTATACTTTCTAACGTTTATTCTACTTCTCTGGCATTAAAACTGGTTAAAACGAATTGATCGTAGATTACGACCAGGGACTAAAAACACATTTGCTTGACTAAATATGGACAATCAAAAGCACTATTAACACATTTGTAAAGAAATACACAGTCTTAAAATGCCCGCCTATGTTCAAGGCTAGGAAGATTAAAATGCCTACAACTGTCAGCGTAAGACATGGAATTATAGTCAACGTGTGCATTGAAGCATAAATATTTCAAAAGTTTACGCTGGACAATTTCGACCTGGTGAATTAAAGATGTTTGGTAAGGAGACCAGATCTGACAACAGTATTCTAACTGACTCCTGACAATACTTATATATAGAGACCTTAAAACAGGTATTTGTTTAAAACTTTTACATGTACGTTTTAAAAACCGAGCATTCACATTGATTTGGAAACAGTACGTCTAATGGGGGTACTAAAACTCATTGAGGTCAGCCAAACACCAAGATCTTTCACACACCATTCATTCTTCAGGTTGTCACCGTTCATAGTGTAATTAAAATTCATACTTTTCTTCTTGTTTGTAAAAATGACCTGGCAGCACTTCTTCACATTCACTTTTATTCTCCACGCAGTGCACCAATCATACATTCTATCTATATCGCTCTGTAGCTGCTCACACTCCGACAACGTTCTTACACACTTACATAAAAAAATACGAAAGAGTTTAGAACATTTCAGAATAGATGGCAGTTCATTGATTCTCATAGCTTGGCTGCAAATGATTCATCACTTTTCATTCTTCCAATTTCTAGTGATCGTCTCTACTTAGCTTTATGTATCAACACACATATTTAGTGCTACGATTGAGATGCAGAAGTCGATAAACGAACGTTAAATCTATGATAATGAATTTATGAGTATAAACTATTTTGTGTTTCAATCGAGGAGTAATGGCCGATATTTAAATCAATGTTAGAAGGGAATCAAAATCGTACATTAAATAATTTCAATCGCATACTACACAGTAATCAGCGATGATTCAACAAACACCTAGAATAACACAAAAAACACTTTCATTTTCTTATTTTTTATAAAGACAATGGTAGCTTTTCTTAGACCAAAAAAAGTGCCCAAAACCGTTATCAGAAACACTATTGGTGGCGCACCTGTCTACAAACGTAAACAGATGTATATATGGTCATTGTTTACAATAAACCTTATATTATTATATATCAGACTTTTCTTCTCATTTAGTTTGTCATTATAATTTCATTAAAGTGTGATTGTTTCTGTCGTGTTAAAGTACTTGTTTCGTTCATGAACTGCTCCAATCGTCTTAAGATAATGAACTTGTTAACCAATATATTTCTGTCTTGTTACAAATAACGATTAAGTTCATCTGCATTTGCTTAAAAATTGTTGGACTAACACGGCTGTACCTCCACTTGTTTCTGTCGAGCTGTAATAATAATAATGGTTATCATCCTGTTTCTGTCATGTTGGGACATTTAGTTTTTTTCAGTCCTATTGAGATAATGAATTTGTTTATTCATTTATTTCTGTTGTGTTAAAAGTACGTTAATCTTCTTGTCTCTATCTGATAGAACAACGCAGTTTATCATGCACATTTGGGTGTCGTGTTGAAATATCTTTATTCATCCTACTGTTTTTGTCATGTTAAAATAACGAGTTATTTGTCCTTTCTTTCTGTTGCGTGGAAATATGTCGCTGATGTTTAATTTTTCACAGTTTTGAAATGAAATAAGGTGAGGTAGTGCAAAGGAAAGTACTGCTGATACTTCTAGGCTATGCGATTTAGTGCTATACAGTAGGTCGTGACGGCAGGGCTAGGATGTGTTTCTAAAATCTCGTTTATGTATTTTTTTTCTTCAAAACCCTTTTAGAATCTTAAGTGCTGAAGAGATGTTAGGAAATAACAATATGTTCAATGAAATAGTTCATAATATTTTAATATTTAGTGGTTTTGATTGATAATCTTAGGTTAGGAAACATAACAGTACAATTTGAGGATGTTGAATGGAGCTTGAAACAGCTGTTGACACAGCTAAAGCACTAACATGACCTTGCTCCTTGATCATAACGAATGAAAAGTCTTCGATTTGATTCCAAGTGGAGAAAAAAACAGAATTATAAGAACACTTTCATGTTGTTTAAATAGTATCATTTCCTTTCTGATCTAGCTTTAATAGGATTGCACTGTCTGACTGCCATCGAGACGATTGCTTCTTATCAATCGGTTTATGTTATCCCTTTGTAGGCAGCTGTTTGGGGGTATTATCTCAGCGGCAGGAGCTACACTGTAGGTATATACGTATCAAATATCTAAACTGATTTTCCATGTCTTATTACTATCTTGTTTGTTCTCTTGGGATTGTTTAACAGTGACTTCCTGTAAACAATGTTTTTCAGACCTGCTTATGTCATACGGCTATATAATTACACACTTGCGTACGAATATCGTCAAATCTGTCTGTTTTGATTGTGCACTTAATGCAACCTCACGCCTGCTAATTTTGAGAAGATAAAGAGCTGTTTTTGGATTACAGCGCCGAGTTAATGGTATTTCTATTGTCGCACAAACGATCAAATACGCAATAGTTTGAGCTTATTTATGATAGAATGAACGACACAGCTTAAGTTTTCTGTCTGTGATTGAGTTTTATTTGAATTGTTAAAAAGTGTCTCACTGTAGTATGAAAACAAGCTAAGATTTATTTATTTTTTAATTACAGCATATAGT